AATACTGTAGAAAATCAAGAACCATGATTCAGAACTAAGGACGAACCCTTGAAACAAACATCCCATTACAAATTCATATGTGAAATGGTTACATCTGCTTACTTATGGCTGTTGGATTTAAGATCAATCTATGTGTTGACGGTAGATTTCAGTCAATAAGGAATTAACTCTCCGATAACACTCACGATAATCTCTCACGTATTAATTAGGGATTAATGATGCAAAATAAGATAAAAAAGATAAGAGTTTATAGTGGTTCGGGTAAAATTCTTTTCCTACATCTACTTATACATGCACTAATATGTTGTAGATTACAAACTCTGGTAGTCTGGAGCAGTTTTGTAGTGTGCGTAAAAAACTTAATGAATTTTCATGGCTCTATTTATAGGCCTTGTACATATGAGAGACCCCCTCTGCATTTCCCGATGAGATCATCCTCTATCCCTTAATTCGGGGATTTGGCAGCTGAATTTCCATGATTACTGCGTCCCGGTCAGGCTAACCACTCTTACCCAATACCTGATTTCCTGACTTCAACAGTGGCGATAGTTGATACAGTGTATCTTTCCTTGGACTGACAGCGGATTTGATCGGGCTGCTGTCTCGACGTCGTGGCCCTCGCCACCTGAGCGGGCTCTCGACGCGTGTTAGCACACGCAAATTCTCGATGTCTAAAGGGCACCCTGGATACACTGGTTCCCTCGGCGTCAGCGATCGATCCTCAACGGGGAGGCCTCGGTGCTTGTCACCCAAAGGAACGGTCGATTCGTCAACCCTAGTGTAACACTATGTAATATCAAACATATGCAGTTGTTATCATAATGGTATTTAAAGATGGCTGAAAACACAAACACAGCGCTGGTTGCTCTCTTCCATTTCCCTTTTCTTACCATAATGCAATTTAAAGATGGCTGAAATCACAAAGCTTTCAACTCCACATGCAGATGCAGTTATAATCAGGGAAAAGGGGAATTGCATAGGTCTTGGTTGGGATTCCTTACGAAAAGTTGTCCCAAGCAATAAGGAAAAGTGTTTTTTTTTTTAAGTCGGGGAAAGTTTTTTAATTGTTTTTTAGACCTTTTTTTTTTTTTTTCTTTTTAAATACATAGCATAAATAAAACTACATGGAAATGAGCCTTCTTACTAATACCTCTTGTCTTCAAAGGAATTTCTAACAAACTGACCCCTCAGGAAATCTTGCTTCTGATCCAAATTCAAAAATAAGAATAACTAACACCATTTTGTCCTGTTGTGCACCCTTCCAAACACAATACAATATATATCATGAACTATGTGACAACTTCAATTGATCAATATAATTCATAAAGTTCTTTAGACGTTAAAAATATATAGATATTTTTCCCTATGATTCTAAATGGAGGGCCGTAGTATATTCTATTCCATCTTTAAATTTCACGACCAAGGGATTCTTATGCAACAAGAAACTGACCTAATTCAGTAAATTAGCAAACATGCCACATTGTCTTTTTTCAACATTGTCTTCTCATAAAGCAAATTAGCAAACATGCCATCTTCTGACCTTCTTTTTCTTTTAAAAAATATTATCTTTAAGGAGTCATATGTCGTGCCTTCATACTCATTGCTGAGCCACTGATGACTCAGGCACCAAAAAGTTAAAGATTCACCTATTGCTTTTATGCCACTTTAAAATGGAAATCTCTTGACAAATACCTCAATAACCATCAACAGATCAATAGCTTTCCTGTGCTATAATCATTTTATTTCGCGGCCCGTCGAAAATGATCCAAACTTCGATTCTGGGACAGGTCACTGGAATTACAATCCACTTGATTGCTTATCCATTAGATAAGATGTCTCCAATGGCACTTCTAACTAATACAGCTACACAATACAACAATAATCAGTTTGCTGAAGATGGATCTTCTGCTTTGAAAAGAAGTAACTCTCTCTCTCTCTCTCTCTCTCTCTATATATATATATATATGTATAGATTATATCTGTATTCATGCATGATTAACAAATATTGTTTCTCACTAATGAAAATGGTCTATTGCATGGTATTACAGGAAGAGTAGATTTAGCGCTAAACAGAATGAAGAAACTTGGAAACAAAGCTGACAGTATAGCGCATGGAATCAAAGAGCAACGGAAGCTGAGCTTCGGAGCTCGGTTTCTTCAAGTACTTCGTGGATTCGAGAAAATATTTAAGCAATTATTTCGGGTCACAGAAGGAGAGAAACTACTGAAGGCTTCCCAATGCTATTTATCGACCACAGCCGGTCCTCTTGCTGGCCTTCTCTTCATCTCCTCGGAAAAGATTGCGTTTTGCAGCCGAAAGTCGATCAAGGTTTCCTCGCCTAATGGAGAAATAATCAGATCCCGTTATAAGGTAGCATTCACAACTAGTCTAATTTAAATTCAATCAATCTATCTCTGATCTATTTCTTCCTATGTATAGTACTAACAAATTGAGTGTTCTTCATGAGTTTTGCAGGTTGTGATCCCAGTAAGCAAGATGAAGAGAGTAAACCAAAGTTTGAATGTAAAAAAACCATCGCAGAAGTACATAGAAATAGTAACAGTTGATAACTTCGATTTCTGGTTCATGGGTTTCTTGAGTTACAAGAAATCTTTCAAGTATCTCCAACAAGCAGTTTCTCAAGCGTAGAGGAAGTTGAAAGCAGAATTGCCTATTTCATGCAGCTCAGCTTTAACGTATATAATCTTTATAATGTGAAACTAGTATCAGCTCGATACCTTTTGTATTTTCTGTACAAATTCTTAATTTCTTCTATTAAGGATTGCTCATTTTTAGTGGCCCCCAAATTGTGTTTGCCTAATCAAACTTAAAGCTCAACTTCAATTGTAAAATAATTTGAAAGTTACCCAATAATATTCTAGGGATGCTCTCCGATCTCCAGAGTATTTTTTGAGTAGATAATTTGCCTAATCTAGTCCAATTTCCTAGGAATTTTAATGAATAAAGGATTCAGGTTTAGCTTGATAGATTGCATTGCATTTATACATTGTAAATTGTACTTAGTTCCTAATTGAGCCGGAAGTGGCACAATAACAAGCAAACCCGGAAGAAGCTCATTTTTTCCTGCTAGCTTGGGATAAGAAATATTTGATGTTTGCTAAGGGCCTTAGTCTATTATTTTATTCTAGGTTTTTGACCTTTTGCCCCTAAATATCTTACCAATTAGCAAGTTTCATTTTGGACTTTTAATCTAATAAATTACCCCTCTAAATTGAATCAACTGTTGCATAATTCCCCAAATTGATGACCTTGTTACAATTTTTACAGAAACACCCCATGCATTTGATATGACATTCCAATCATATTTCCATCCAAATTTCAACAATCGTCCTCACTTTCAACCACTTTATGAGATTTCATTCGACTCAAAAAGTAATTTATCCAAATTAAAAGTTCTATCATGGACAACAAGGCCAAGAAAAAATTATACTGAATTCACACACCCTCTTAAGAACTATATGAAGTTTCCATCAAGGATAGTGTACTCATACGTCCTCTTGAGATAACTAAATAGACGTTTGGTTGATGGATTCAGAATCATAATTCAGAATTATTTTTTATTTACGTGTGTTTTTTGTGAGAGAAAATACTGTAACGAGCCACAAACCATAATTCAAACCATGGCACGAATCGTTAAACCAAACGCACTCTAAATCCCCCATGAGCTTCTTATATTCAGGACTATATTTTGAAAAATTAGAAAATCAATCGAAATTCTTGTGCAAATGCTTCGTTGCCACTTCAGCACGTACGTTTTAACTTATCAAATGTCTAAACCCTAAAAAGTAAAAAGTCATTTGTCGAAATAAAAATGAGATTCTAACACTGAATTTTCATGATACTGCTCCCTTGAAAGTCGGACTTCTTGGACATAAAAGCAACAAAATTTTATTCAACTTTCAGTGACAAACAAAAGGTATTCATCCATGTCAGCTCGATGTAATCTCGGAGATCTATGACGACCGATGTCTTTTGAAATTCGGTAAAATGATGACCCAATTGTCCACAAATGCCTTTTACCCTCCTTTATCTTATCTTATCATATCATAGTCATATCTGAAGAAGGATGAGATCACAAAGCTAAGTTGCCAACTCAAAAGGCTTCAATAGTGACACAACCGGCCTCCAACAGTTCACGAGAGAAAAGTTGTTCCAACAAATCAGGGAAACTTTTTTTTTTTAAAGGCGTAAGACTATTTCTTGCAACTTCATGAAAGATTAAGAATAAAAACTAGAACATGGGTTTTCTTCGTCATACTTCTATTCTAGCCTTCAAAGGAATTTCTAACATATTGTCACATTGAATCACATAAAATCTTGCTTTTCTTCATGATCAGAGAAATTTAAGGATGGCCAATAACATTTTATTATGTTGTACAATATCCTTTGTGACACATACAATGGATTCATGAAATATGGTGAGAAATACAATAGAGTTATTTTTCATGAAGGTCCTTTTATGTTTCACATAAAAAATGATTTTTAATAACATTTGTAAATGGAGGGCCCTAGTATTTTCATGTTCCATCTATTAAATTCAGTGGACCAATCCAAAATGAAGTCTTCTATAACAAGAAACAGACTTAATTCAGACACCCCAAATCCACCTTTTGCTTCCAATACTTGAACCTTACGAGTGCATTATTTGTTTGGCACTCATAGTTGAAGTGAATTCTTTGGATATAAAATGGATTATTGGAGCGTGCGACTTGAATTATTGTCTTGAAACTTTCCACCAGAGAAGACTTGAAACTTTCCACATTGTCTTTTCTTAAAGCAACCAAAACATGCCATCTTCTCACCATTCTTTTCTCTTAAAACTTTTTTCATCTTTAAGAAATCAAATATATGTCTGTACCTATATTCTCACTGATGATCCAATGATGACTCAGGCAACAAAAAGTTAAAGATACACTTAACTCCCTTTAAATGCACCTCCTGATTACCTCAGTAAGCATTAAGTGATCAATTACTTTCCTCTCACATTGAATAACATTCTTATACAGTGCTAGAATCAATTTCCTTTTCATCTTAGAGAATATGAAAACATTACTTCAGGGACAAGTTATTGGAATTCCAGTAAGCTCTACAGCTTATCCACATAATAAGAGGTCTTCAAGGGTACTCCTAACTGATACTACCACACAATTCCACACAGATCACCAAATTTCTGAAGATGGATCCTCAGCTCTGAAAAGAAGTAAATTCTACTCTTTGATCTTTTTCTCTCTACAAATGAATTAGTCCAAAAGTAGGCTTTTCACTACAGAAACTAGTCTTGTTACAGGTAGAGTAGATTTGGTGCGGAATAGAATAAACAAGCTTGGGAAGAAAGCTCACAGCTTTGCACATGGAATCAAAGAGCATGGTAAATTATTCTCTCCCTTTAGTTCAAACCACAAATAATAATCCATGTTCTGAAACTTTAGCTACTATTTTCAATTGAAAAGCTCAATTTTCTTTCTTTTTTTTTTTTTTTTTTTTTTTTTCTCGTGCAGTGAGACTGGGACCTAAGATCACTGAAACTGTGAAAGGGAAGCTGAGCTTGGGAGCTCGGATTCTACAAGTTGGTGGATTGGAGAAAATATTTAAACAAATTTTTGGTGCCACAGAAGAGGAGAAACTATTAAAAGCTTCTCAATGCTATTTGTCAACCACAGCTGGTCCTATGGCCGGCCTTCTCTTCATCTCCCCGGAGAAGATAGCCTTTCGCAGCCAAAAAACGATCAAGTTTTCTTCCCCAAAGGGAGAAATAATTAGAGCCAGTTATAAGGTAATATATAATATTCACAAATATTTAGTAAACGTTTGGTTCATGAGTTCAGAATTATAATTCAGAACTATTTTCAGACGTGTGTTTTTTGTGAGAAAAAACACCGTAGCGAATCACGAACCATAATCCGAACCATGGCACGAATCCTTACTCCAAACAATTAAAGTAAAGTTTTAACAATCAGCTTCTAATTTCTCTATTTCTTCCTACATATGGTGCTAATGAGTTTGATTATATCTCTATGATCTTCTCAGGTTGTGATCCCATTAAGCAAGATAAAGAGAGTTAACCAAAGTGTGAATGTAAAGAAACCATCGGAGAAGTACATAGAAATTGTTACTGTTGATAACTTTGACTTCTGGTTTATGGGCTTCTTGAACTACAACGAAAGTTACAAGTATCTTAAACAGGCAGTTTCTCAAGCTTAGAGAAAGTATCTTGTATTGTGTTTGTAAATGGATTAAGCTGGTAAGAGCTCATCAATACGGTTATATATAGAAGTTGTACAAAGTTTTGATACATGAGAAAATAGATGTCTTATTATTCTTCCATAATCATTTTACTGTAAGACAATTAAATTCCTTGTCACTAGAAGAAACATGGCTATTAGCGACTACAAAAAGTCATTGCAACAAATTCAAAGTCATCACAAATGAAGTTTTAGTGACTATTTATCATCGCAAAAATGTCGCCACAATTGATTCATCGCAAAAATAATTTTTGCGACGACAAGCAGTCGTCGCAATTATATTTGCGACGACAATCATCACAAATGAGTCGCTGTAATTATTTCATCGGCTACAACGTTAAGATGACATGGCATTGAGTATTTGCAACAACATTTTACGAATTAAGTTGTCGCAGAAGATGCAGATTTAGTTGACGTGGCTTATATTTTTTGCGATCACATTTGTTGTTGCAAATAATATTTTAATCTTTTATTTATTTTTTCTCATTTTACTAATTAATGTTGTATGTTACTATATATTTAAACCTAATAGTAAATATAATTCATGATATTATAGTAATAAAAAAATTAAATAAAAGGAAATAAATAATAAAAATAGAAATAGAAATTATTATTGTAAAAAGTAATTAATAAATGATAGACAGAGAGAGACATAGACATCAGAGAATATAGTATGAACTTGTTTCATGTAACAAATTTTCCTATGATCACATAACACACAATGTTTAATTTTACCATATTAAGAGGTTGGTTCAAAAAGAGTCCTCATTTCCAGTATATTTCGAAGTATATAAGATGAAGAACTAAAAGTTTGTTTCGCTTATCTATGGATGAATTCGTTTTACCCCCAAAATCCATAGAGTTCGTTACATAACACTCCGTACTAAAACATATAGGGCCGGTTTGGTAATGTTTTCATAATGGTTTCATTTTTAATATGAAAGTGAAAGTGATATTGTTTTGAGAATCATATTGAGATCGATTTTGAAATTGTGTTTGATTGGTTTATAAAGATATTGTCTTGAGTATAATAAAAAAATTAAAATTGTGTGTGATTATATTATGAAATTTTGTTTTGAGTGCATGTATTTAATAATCTTAAATTAATATATTAAGTAAATAATGATTGATAATAACTTAGCAATTAATATTACATATTAGTAAGTATAATAATGGATATATTATCTAATTACCAATATACGTGATCAATTATTCTTTAAATGATAATTAATTACTAATTATCAATTATTAATTAATATTGATCAGTATATTACATAATTAATAAATATAATTTAATAATAATTATTAATTGAGTAATTACTATTTATTTATTCTTTTTCAATTGTTTAGTAACTAACAAATTATAATTAATATATGATATGATTGATATAAATTATTAGTTATTTATTTAATAACCTATTATTAATTATTCCATTATTAATATATTATATAATCAATTTTCAGAAATTAATCTTTAACTAAATAATTATTTATTATTTATTGTTTATTGTTTATTACTTACTTTTATTAATAAATTAAAAATTTAATAGTAAGAAACTAATTTTTAATTAATACTTGAGTAATTACTATCTAATTAATTATTTCATATAACATTGTTGAAAGTACCAGAAAATGAATATTGAAAAGGCAATAAAAACTTTCAATCAATTTTTAATTCACAAAAAAATCATTCGCAATATTTTTTATTTTCATTTTTGTTTCTAAAACATTTGTTAAATAAACGAGATTTGCATATCGTTTTTATTTTTGTGCCTCAAAGACATGCAGAATTATCTTACAAAATAACTCAAAACTAATTTCAAATACACCCTTAGTGGCAAATCACATAGAAATTAAAATTTTTTTTGTCACTTCTCCTTTTTTTTAAGTACGAGTTTCTTTCTCTATGATAGCTTCCCATGTGACCTCTTTATAGGGTCAATCGTTAGAGTTTTTGTTTTTATTTTATATTCCATTAAATGAAATAAGAAATAATTATTTATTTATGAGCGCAGTTGATAAAATTTTTGAATGATAAAAATAGAAAGTAGTCTTTTAAGTTTACTTTCGTAGTGTTTTATTATAGAATGAGAAAAAGAGAAGAAAAGTTCTTCATTTCTGTTTCATGTCGTGTATGCATTGGTGTTCGTGGAAGATTTGAGTGTTTTTGAGTGCTAATCTCATTTTTTTTAGATGTGTCCACACAAACGTCTTTGTAGATTCAAGAAATTGATAAGAAAGATTCTGAAATTCTAAACTAGCTTAGAACAATGATTGTTCATGGTCAAAGAACGCATGCTTCTGCAAAGAAAATCGTTTTCAAAACCAACATTGAAAAGGGCTTAATTGAAAATTTTGAGCTTTAATGGGGTCCAAATTACAAAGAAACGGATCAAAAAATTCAAATTGAACCGGTTTCGGCCAATTCCCAAGCCCGCTAGTGAGGAAACCAGCTCGCATGTGTAGTTCACCGCCAAGAGGAGTGCGTCGTCGTCAGAGACAACAGGTGAGTGGCCTCTCGCATCGCTCCACGTGGTGTCTCGTGGGCCACCACGCAACCGACTCCCCCTCTAGTCTAATCCTGTGCAACGCAAGCCATCAAAACCCATGTGTACCCGTCATTTCAGCCATCCACCATCCGCCACATGTCCCCGCTTCTTCTCACAGTATCGCGCCGCGCCACTTGTCCCAGGGTCTGATGATGTACTCCTGCTGGCTGCGGAGGAGAAGAAAGAGATGGAAAAAAAAAAAACAAAAAGATAAAAGAAAATATATATACATTGTCAGACATGTTTATTTCATCAATTTTATTATAATAAAAAATTCTCAAAAATAGTTACATTTAACTTTTTTACTATAATAAAAGACTCTCATATAAACTCACATTTTAACTCAAATTAAAAATTTAAATTAACGAATTAAATGGACCCTTAATGAGTGTTTGTGCAGAAAATCTAATTCCAAAAATTATCCAACCAATTTTCATGAAGGTACAAGTTGGGGAAGAGCTCGAAGAAAGGAATACTTTCTCAAACTTTATTCTCTTTAATTTCAACTACTATTTTTGTGATAATATTGGATTTGTAGTATTGGAATTTTATTTTCATTTGCCCTTTAATTTGGGAAATGTTCTAGCTTCATTATCTAGGGTTGCAATGTAGCCTAATTATGGATTTTGAGTTAATTTACTCTCTTTGATTTCCTATTGATTATTGGAATTTATTGTCCTATTATGTACTTAATGCTCTTAATGATTTGGCCACTCATTAGGTGCCCATTTTAGACTTGAATGAAGTTAGGGAAAGAAATTTCTATTCTTGAGCAATAATAGGACACCATGTGCAAATGGAATAGGAATATATCCATAATGTATGTGTAGTCATTGTGAATGTTTGTTCTTAATGAATTTGAGCTAATTATGTCTTCATAAGAATATAGAGGGTTTAATTAATATAAATGTAACGCCCTTTTAAGTTAGTAACTCGAGAACTGTTAAGTTTAGGAGAAACGTTGGCTTAATTAGAATAAATAAAACTACAAAGAGAAAAAATAATATCTATCACAAAAATAATCCTCTAATAGAATTTTTAAAATTACAAATTATCAAACTCGTCTTGGGATTGTGGATCATTTATGCTTAGTCAACTAAAATTCTTAATTATCAAACTTACCTGCATCATGAGAACTATATGAGCGATAGTTCATTAAGTAAAACCATAAATTATTTCCACTTTTAAAATACTTATCTAAAATATTTAGGGCGTTCTTGTATAAGATTAGTCTTGTGTTATTAAAACTCCTTTCATGTAGCATCTATCTTAGAATCTCTTATTCCTCAAAGATTCGGTCCTTATCATATTCAGTTAGTTCGTAATAAATATAAGTGTTCACATCATACTCATAAAACACTTTTGAAATCTCATAAAGCAAGTCAACAATAACATATATAGATAACAAATTTTCACTAAAAACATATTACTGTTTAAGTGATGCAATGAAAAATCTACTTATAATCAAGCTAGTACAAAGTAAAATTCTTCATTCTCTCTTTTATCTTCTTTTCTCTATTTTCTTTTTCTTTCTTTTTCTTTCTTTTTCTTTCTTTTTCTCCCTTTCTTCTCTCTCTCTTCTTTCTTTTCTCCTTTCATTGTTTGGTCGGCAAGGCTTTTATTTTGATCAAAGTCGGTGATATAAAGCTTCCTTAGGAAGCTCAGCATAAGCGCTTGGGCTTCCAGGTGATGGGCTTCCTAAACTATTGGGCTCATCTATTTGGGCCTAATTGTTTTTTTTTTCAATTACTAAGGTGATGTTTGGGAGAGGGATTCTCTGATTCGAATCATGATTCGTAATTCGCTATAGTATTTTCTCTCATAAAAAATATACGTAAATCGAAAATAGTTCTAATCACATGGTTTTAATCTATGAACTAAACGAACTCTAAGAAATTCCAAATAAGATAACCTAATTGGTATAAAATAATTCCTCATATGAAATCTTCAAATATCATCAAAAATAATCCAAAATCTCCAAATATCATAAAATAAATCAACTATGCTAATAGCTCTAAATTTTTGGATATTACAATAAATATGCTTTCTTGTTTATCGGAAGACGCAAGTGAGTAATTTAGTGCATTCGACAAGCAATTCCACTAATTGAAATTAATCAATTCGAGAGTAGAATTTGCTCAAGTGATATCAAATGGTGAACTTGCGATCCTAGAACCTAATCAATTGATTTTAACTACGTTTAATTCCTCCATTTGATTTTCCGTGTTAGAATTTGTTTTTACTTTATTGGTAGTTGTCCTTGGCTCGTTAGTTAATTTGTTTTGAAATTTCGTTTATTTACTTGTTTTTTTTAGTTTTAATAATGACCGATCGAATAAAATTAGATTGAGATAATTTTAGTACTTAATAAGTTAGTAAGGTCCCGTTTATTTCACTAATTTGAGTTTAGAATTTGAGTTTTGTTATAATAAAAAACTCTCAGAAATAGTCATATATAACTTTTTTACTACAGTAAAAAATTCTCACATAAAATCACATCTCAATTCGAATCAGCGAATTGAATTTCTGTCGGACGATACTCATACTCACTTTCTTGTTTGTCGACAACGTGCACTTGCGTTAGAATTTTCACAACACACATCGATACAAATTACCTGTGTGGGCATTTTGCATATAGTCCAATATGATTATAAATTATTGAGAAAGTTCTATTAATTTTTTCCTTGAGAATTTATGCAACTAGTAAACAGACCAAATGGACCTGCTTAATCGAAGTTCCAATAAACAATACTTAATTCAATTAAACTTTTAATCAATTAAATACTATTATTAACTTTAATTTGTGCCGCTATCAAAAATCAAAACAACACTTAAGATTATGCATATATATTTATGATAAGCTAATTATACAAATAAACTTTATCCACCAATATAGTTGATTATGATGTGATCCCTCTATTATGAACGTTGGAGTTAAGTAATAATTCCGTTAAACCTTTATAATTTCTTTTTTTTTTTTTTTCTTTTTTGAGTTTTGTTAATCCTCTAACGGAAAACCTTTCAATGGGATTTCTTCTAAACAGGTATGACATACGGCCTGGAGTTAATTTTATTTTTATTTTTTACATTTTTTGAGAAAAAAAATAAAAACGAAAGAGAAACGGTATTTGACATAATTAAAGATAAAAAATAAAAATAAAAATAATTTTTTAATTTAGTGTAAAATGAGAGAGAAATAAAAAATAATTTTTAATTATTGTTTATTTTTTATTTCTGTTTTCTTCTCTCTCGAGCACAGAGAGAGACATTAATATATTTTTTTATATTAAAAATAATCTTTTAATAAAATTACCAAACAAATTTTTAAAAATAATTTATGTCTAAGATTGAAAACATTTTTATTTCTGTTTTTATATAAAAAATAAAATTATTTTAAAACGAATTCTAAACACATGACGTTTGGTTCATGAATTAGAATCATGAGATTATAACTATTTTTTATTTATGTGTATTTTTTATAAAAAAAAATATTATAACAAATTATAAACTATTATTCAAATCATAATACAAATCCCCTAATCAAATAACCCATTTTTCTTTTCCCCTTAATCAATCTTTATTCACTCAACACGTTCTCAAAAGCCCCACCGATAAAGTTTTATCTGACAAGCACTGGAATGCTTTTGCCTTTTCGTGCAATGTTGTCAAAACCTATAGCGAGCAAACATAATTTTATATGAGATTTTTATGATACGGACCGAAAAAATATTTGAGAGATTAAGGGAAATAAATCAAAATTTTAGAGGGATTAAAATTAATACGTTAATGTTTTAAAAAAAGTTATAAATAAGCTCACGTGAGTTAAATTTAAATTTACAACAAGCTGGAATATTAAAAATACAATTTCGGTATATCTTAAATTTATCGTTTATATTTAAAATTTACTATTAAATTTTTCATTTTTTCTCTATTAATATGAATTTAGTAAATCTAAAATTTATCAAGTATATCTTGAATTTACTATTAAAGTAGTGTTCTTTTCTCCTATTAATACGATCTTAGTAAATCCAAAATTTACCTGGTATATTTGAGATTTACAATTAAATGTTTTTCTTTTTTCTCATAATACGAATTTAGTAAATCCAGAATTTACTAAGTACATTGGGGAATTACTATTATAATTTATTGTGTTCTTTTCCCCTACTAATATGAACTTGGTAAATCCAATATTTGCTAAGTATATCTGGAATTTATCATTAGATTTTTCATTTTTTTGTACTAATACAAACATAGTAAATCCTAGATTTTACCATGTAAATTTGAGATTTACCATTAGAATCTGTACATTTTTTTCCTAGTAATGTGTCTGGTAAATCCTAGATTTACCAAGTATGTTCAGAATTTATTATTAGAATTTGTACTATTTTTTTCAAGTGATTTTAACTTGATAAATCATGAATATACCTGGATTTATCAAAAGAAAAAGGCAAAATTAGCAAGAAAATGGTAAAATTAAAAACATAAAATAGTCTATTTATTTTGTATACATTAGTAAATTGACCATTCACTTCCACAAGTTTGTAAGCATGTTTTCTATAATTTATTTTACAATGGATTTCTATTTCAAATATAAAATGTCTTTAATACTATAAGTTTTCTATACTTTTCGTTTTAACATGATTTTGATCAAAACTAACAATAAAAAACATACACTACCAGCTTCAATTTTATAGTTGTCACTAGTGCTGGAACTTTGGGCCGGCAGGCTTGCCCGAAGCCTGAATTTTTCGGGCTCGGCGGGTAGGCCCATAAGGTGGCCCATCCAAGCAAATTTTTGAGCTCGGACTCAGGCTGCCCAAGAATGGTCAGAATTGCCGAAGCCTACTGCCGGAAAAAAGCCTCCGACCCTCAACTGCCATAATTTATTTGATTTTTTTTCTCTCCGGCCTGAATTGCCCGAAGCCCAATCAACGGCTTATTTTTTTTATTATTGGCGGCCGACCCAACCCGCGTCTGAAAAGCCCGACTTCAACGGCTCTTTTTTTTTACTGCTGCCTGATTTTCGGCCTAAACCTAACCCGCCGAGACCAAAAAAAGACCGTTGGATTCGAATTTGGGGGAAAAAATTAATTTTTTAACCCAAAAATTTTCCTATAAATACCCCACCCCACACACACACATTTTTCTCACCCAAACTCTTTCAATCTCTCTCAATTTCTCTCAATTCCTCTCAATCTCTCAAATCTCTCACAATTTTTCTAAAAACTATTACAATATTCTAAAGCTCTCTCTCTCAAATCGCTCTTATTTTTAATAATATGTGTTGAATGTTGATTTTAATTTTTATATAATTTTAACACTAAATAACTTAATAATTATTTATATACAAATACAATTACTAAATAATAGTATATTATATATAATATATATAAAAAATATAATAAAAAAAAAATTTTCGAGCCATTCGGGCGGGCTCAGGCTGCCTGACCGGGCTCGGGCAGCCAAAACTAGGCCTGCGGCCCGTCTATGGACCTTCTCGGGCTCGGGCGGGCTGGTTTGAACGTCAAGCTCAAAATCAATTTTTTCAAACGGTCGCGGACGGCCCATCTAAAATTTCAGCACTAGTTGTCACTCATCATTAAGGAATTTCGCTTCACCAGCCACCAGCAACCTTAGCAAACGCAAATTAGGCTAAGCAAGAATATATATTACACACTTGGTTGTTGGAAGAGGGCCTTCTTGGGGATTAAATTAAGCAATTCATCATTTTACATTACACACTTAAGTCTAAGAAAATAAAAAACTTTTGTTTGTCTTGTAAAACAATAATCATAATCACATGGTTCTATTCATCATGTTACCTTACCCACTGCTAGTACTTTTGTTTGTCATGTAAAGCTTAATCATATTCACATGGTAATTGTTCTTTTTTTTTTTTTTTTTTTGCTAAAAGAATCACATGTAGTTCTATAACACTTCCATGTGTACAATGGCATAAAGGAACGACTCTGGTCATTTAAACACGTCACCTCTCAGAACCTTTTCCGACATTTCACCAGTACTCAAGAAAAAGATCAGTCCGCACCCAAAAAAATGAATAAAATAAAATAAAATAAAATGAGAGAGAGAGAGAGAGAGAGAGAGAGAGAATTGTCTGCACAAAGCATGGGTGAAAAATCAAATTCTAGAAGAGGGTAACAAATCCAGACCAGGCAAGTTAACAATACTAATTTCTTCCAAAATGCAGAGGAAATATAAAACAGCAATGAGAAGGCAATATACATAAATTTACAAACATATTCTGAGAGACAAATACAAGACAAGCCCAAAATGTTCTTCGAGTTTGAAGACATAAGATTGAACAGAACAACAAGAACTACCCACATCACAAGTTGTTGGCAATGTCTCAAACCTTCCAGGACAGTGCTTGCTTTCATGAATTCATAATAATGTTTAGTGAAGAAGCCAGCTCTTTAAAGTAACACATCAGGCTCCGATAAACTTCCCGTAAAGTTTACTTTACAGCAATCAGGAAATGACAATCCTGCCTCCTCACAACCTGCCTTTGTAATTTGTGGGCATGATCTAACATCAAGGTATTCCAAAGAGCTGCATTTATTTAGGAGCTTGCCGATCCCGGCCACTGTGATTTTGGCGCAGTTACTAAGCTTCAAAACCTTCAGACTCAACTTAGTTTCTCGACTGCTTAAACCCTCAAAGGCAGCATCAGTAACCTCCTCACAGCACCCAATGTCGATAGCTTCTATGTTTCTGCAATGAACGAGGATACAGCTTAACGAAGAATCAGAAATGTTTAGACACCAGTCCATCCGCAAGTTCTTCAGACTATTCTTAAAAGTGGCGGCAAGTGAACTTATTGATTCATCAGAGATGTTCCGGCAGCCACCAATTATTAGAGTTTCAAGATTTTTGCAGAATTTGGCCAAGGATAATATGGAGGCATTCCCAATTTTGTTGCAATCCAACAACTTAAGTGTTTTCAGTGAAGATGCACAGGCCTCAGAAACACTGAAAACCCCAACGTCTCCAATATTACTGCATTTGTTGACGTCTAAAAACTTGATTCCGCGACACCCATTTACAAGTTCAGTTAGACCTGAGTCAGTTATGTTGATACATCCTTGGAGCACCAACTCTTCAAGATTACGACAATTCTTGGAAAGTGCTTGTAATACTCCGTTTGTAACAAGTCTGCAGCCAGTGAGACGCAGGCTCCGTAGATCAGAACAACCCCCAGCAACAACTGACAACCCTTTGTCTGTCAACTTTCTGCAATATGATACATCCAAGGATTGTAGCGAAGAAAGGCCACTCCCAATTGCCACCAACCCTTTATCGGTAATTCCTACAAATATAAATAAATACAAAAAAAAAAGGTTCAAATATCAAATTATACATTGTTTGTTTAGCACAAGAAGTTTCCAAAATAAGCAAATGTTTCGATTAACAGGTGAAACGTATATTTAATTTCAGACAAAAGAGAATGTGACAAGATTTTATCAGTGCTTCCAATATATAAATAACAACCAGCAATTCCAAAAGAAGAGCTACAGGAAGCTACTAGATCTAGATCACAAAATTATAAGCACCCAAACTTATTGACATTCACGATATCAAAAAGGGGTTCCTGTTCCAGACAAATTGTTTCAGAAAATTTAAACTCGATATTCAGTTATAAGTGAAAAGCTTGAAATCAAACCAAAACGGATTGTCTTTGGTCTTGTTTGGTTCAACGATTCAAATTGTTGATTTGGTTGGAATTGTAGTGATTTAAATTGTGGTGATTTTAATTGTGATTGGAACCGGTGTTTGGATACGCAAATAAATTGTAATTTGAATTAGAAATAAAATCCGAACTGTGTTTGGATAAAGTGTTAAAAACCGTCATTAGAGTTTTGTAACAAATCTTATAAAACTTCATTGTAAATGACATTAAAAAACAATGCAATGTGGACGGGGATCTGTTACTCTTTTCATTATGCACATTAAAAAAAATCATCTCAATCAGAATTGGAAGGAAAAAGTTATGATATTTTTAACCTTGAAGTTGAGTGGAGAGAAAAATTAAGATCTAAATTATTTCACTAAATTCTGAAATCAAGGGTTTGAACCATTGTCAGTGATTTAAATTGTCCTCATTTAGTTCTCTACCAAACATCAATTTGAACCTTAAACAACAATCCTAATTGAATTGTTGGGTTCGGATTGCTGGAAGAAACAAAGCATTTTTCTTTGTTTTTCAAACTGTCTATGCCAGAACAAATTTACTGCAGCAAAGAAAACTGCTGGCACCTAAAGTTGGTGGTCAGAAATAGTCCACGTCTCATCTTGTTTAAATAATACCAAAGAGCAAAACCAGAATTGCAATTATCCAAAAACATAATAGTATATGATAACCAAAGAAAAGTCTAGCAACATTCGAATACATCATTAACTGAGTAGAAAAACCAGACCTTTACAATTCTGCAAATTGAGGACTCTCAAGCAGCTGAAGCCATCGGCGATGACAGAAAGATCGGAGTCGGTGACGCCGGGATAGAAGGACCGAGAGACCGACTGCGAGAGGTCCAATTCCTGGAGGCGGGAGAACCTGGCGGCCATTCGGCGGAGCATGTGGGGCCCGGCGCGAGCGAAGAGCTTCTTCCTCTCGGTGCTCTGCAAGTGGAGCCATCTCTTGCAGACCAATCCGAAGGCCTCCTTGTCCTGATCGCTCCCCAGCTTCGACAGCACCGCCCGGAGCTCGTCGTCCGTCAACACGTCGTTTATGGAGATCGCTTCTAGGACGTCGGAAGCCATTGGTGGGGAAAGGAGAAGGGGATTGATTGTAGATTGAGAATGAATATTTATCCCTGATTTGGGTCCTAACCCTAGACCTAAATCTGATTCGGAGGAAGTGAATTAGGAATTAGGGTTAAGAAAAGGGGGGGACGGACTGGGGACGGTGGCTCCGGTGGCGAGTACATACAGGAGTTAGATCGGCGCCCAGAGCAAATTTACGAAATTACCTCTTTTGGTGTGAACATTATATATGTCCCGTTTTTACCGATTTAAATTTAAAATTTAAGTTTTATTATAATAAAAAGTTCTCAAAAATAATCACATTTAATTTTTTTAATATAATAAAAAACTCTCATATAAAATAACATCTCAACTTAAATTAAAAATTTAAATCAGTGAACTAAACGATCCCATAATATTTAACCGATTCGAATTCTCAATTTTAATTTTATTGCAGTTTAAAATTTTTATAAAAAATTATATTTAAATTTTTTTATATAATTAAAAACTCTCATATAAAATTAACTCAAATTAAAAACTCCAATCAATAAACTAAACAAGGTCAAAGAGTATAACAAACCATTTATACTAACTAAACTAAACCAGCCAAACAAAATCAATGAATAATCTCTTTGGTTTGGTTTAAATTTAAAAAAAAAAAAAAACTAACTAAATTAGTTTAGTACGTAGTTTTACTTTACCCCTAAAAAAGCCCAACCAAACCAAACTAATTTACGTCTATATAATTTTTCTAAAATTATATATATTTCATATATTTATAAGTTATTTATATTTTAAAAAGCTCTTTTACTATAAAATTAAATGATAATAACTTTAGAAATTTTTATCATAACATATATATACATAACTAAAACTACCTCCACAATCTACCATCAAGCTTTTTCCACTCCTCTCCTCTCATTCTCTACTCCTTTGAGTGATTCTCTCTAATTTGTCTATATTCATTTTCTTTCATATATTTAGAAAAAGTGAATATCATATTCAATCATGAGTCATAACTAATATTATATAAATATAATTATTTTAATTTTATTTTGTCATTAAAAGAAGAGAGACAGAGAGACAAGAGCACACAAAATATTAGTACTAGTTATACTTGAGACTTGATAATATGTTGTAAAATAGTAGTTCAAATCAATTAGAAAAACCAAATAAAACCAATTACAATTAGTTTGGTTTGAATTGGATTAGATCCTTTAATTGGTTTGGTTTGGTTTGAAAATCTCTAAACTAATTTGTAATTTGTTTGATTTGTATTTTACCTAAAAGAAACAGTTTGGTTAGTTTGCACACCCCTAGCAACTACTTAGGTGTCGTTTGGTAAGTAAGTTTGAACGGCAAATCAAAATTTTTGTGAGAAAAAATACTAAAGTAAACGTGTCCCCATAGAATCTGATCTTGTGAGATATACAACAATGTCTATTATCTACACATGTTAATGTTTTATTTAAGATTTTGAAAAATATAGGAATATGTAGTGAAATGACTCTTCTTAAAAGTATTATTTTGACAAATATCTCGAGTTTTGTTAAAGTAGGAAATTAATTCGTTTGTAAAAAATGCAACAACTAACTAATTGATTTGATGGTCAATCAATAATTGACTGTTTAACTTAGTAGTTAATTAATGATTGAGTCAGTATTTAACAAATTTAAATTGATTATTTACCACCAATTATTGATTGATTTGATCATTAATCACTACCAACATAATTTAATTAATCAACACATCAACCATGTTAATGGCAGGTCATCGATCATTTTCCTAACACTATGTTTGGTATGATGAAAAAGGGAAAAGAAGGAAGTGAGTAAAAGGATTATTGGATAGAAATTGATAGAGTTGGTTGTTTGGTAAGAAGGAAGAAATGAGGGAAAGGAAAATAGGATAGAAAAAAATTTTCTCTCATTATACTAAACACTATAAAAGAAAATCAACTTCATTCATTTCCTTTACATTTTTTTTATATGTTTTCTTTCCATTCTTTTTTCTTTCCCTCCTACCAAACGGAGTGTAAAAGAAAGTTCTGACATTTATTGCAAGAAGGGCTTATACAGCTACATCATCTCATTTCTCAAATATAATTAATTACAATTTTATATAGGTTAAACTTCTAAAATAAAAATAAAAAGAAACGAGTCTCAAATAAAAGAAATAAATTTCTTCACTTGACCCCTTTATATAATGAGATGCTCTCATTGGCTCTATCTAATCTTCTTACTTATTTTACTATTTTCTTACTAGTGCATAGAGTTGTAAGTTTAAATCGAACCAAACAAGTCAATTTAAAATTGTTTTGGCCCATATCCAGTCTGCATAAAATGAGAAATTTTGATAAAGCTCCCTTAAAAGTGTGTGGGTCTTGATTTCTCGCATATAAAATTCTCAAGTAGGATAAGGTTGGGTCGAGGTTCTCGGCTCGAAAGTCTTTTTGAGCTAGGCCGGTTAGCCATTTTTTAATTATTATTATTACTTATTTAAAATTCCCTTGTAAAGTTTCAAACAGGTCTTAGTCTACTAGGCTTTTAACGGCAGATTGGACTGACTTTTTCTCCTATAGTCCGATCCAGGTAAAGTAGCGTGCCCAACGGCCTTGACTTGTAACTCTACTCGTACATTGGCTCTTTTGTTAATTAGAAAATTGCTAAACTTACTATTAAAGTGCATCACTATTTCTTACTCTTAATTAATACCCTTTTAATTAATATAGTTATTTAATTAAAAAAGATATTAATAAAAAATAAGAGTTAAAATTATGGACTCATACACTCTAAGAATATTTGGCTATTTTCCTCTTTTTCAACTAAAATGATTAAAAAAAACTTTTTTATCATTATTTTAATACGATCTATATCTTTAATCATATTAGAAAAATACTAGATGATATTAGAAAAATAGTCACTAAAATATTATTAAGGCAATTTGAGACTTTTTCGTGTTGAAAGATATTGATTTTCCATTTTAAGAAAAGAAAAGAAAGCGAAGAATAATAATTAGAATTAATTTCACAGGTGCTCAGATGAATCCGTTGATTCGGTTCAAAGTTCTTTCTCAAGATCTGCTTGTCATGAGTCGCTTTCATTTTTGTCTTGTAGATTCTTAAATTGTCATAAGCATCGTTCCTTAACTCCTTAATTTTAGAAAGTTGGAGCTTTCGATTAATACCTGCAACGCTGAGGTCAAAGTTGAGGGCCATGGTAGCCCAATAAGTCTTATATTCAAGCTCTATAGGTAAATGACAAGCTTTTTTAAAAACAAACCTATAGGAAGACATCCCAAGTTAGGTTTTGTATGCAGTGCAGTATGCCCAAAGTGCGTCAAGAAGATGCAGAAACCCATCCTTACGGCCGAGATTAACCGTCTTCTCTAAAATTTGCTTGATCTCCATGTTTGCCAACTCAGCTTAGCCATTCGTTTGTGGATGATAGGCAGTCGAAACTTTATAAGCAACACCATACTTGCACATCAGAGCCTCAAAAGAATGGTTGTAGAAGTGTGTGCCTTGATCACTAATGATAGCATGAGGCGTTCTGAACCGAAATAACACGTTTTCCTTTAAGAACTTCACAACAGTTGCATTATCATTGTTCTAGCACGCTAAACTTTAAGGTAATTCTCAATGTGCTTTTTAAGTTTTAAGAACTCTCACTTTAGTCCTTGAATTTTGAATATGTCTCATTTAAATTTTTTTATAAGAATTTCTGTTGAAATTAGATAAAAAAAAAGGAACAAGTTTAGCTAAATGGTTTTTATCTATTTATTTTTAACAAAAATTTAAACGAAAGAACTACGTGATTGTCTTACTCTCTTTTTCTCTATGCATTTTTAATAGAAATTACAACATAAGTGTTAAGTGGGAACAACGTGAAGTGAAAATACAAGAGTAAAGTAAGGGCACGTTTACCAAACCCTAAATGAGTGTAATAGAAAAGATAATGAGATTAAAAAGTAAAGCAAAACTAAAGGTCATAAGTAATTAGACTAAAGGTCATTTATTCTCTTTCATGTGTTTACATAACTATTAGATAGTGTAATGAGAAATAACTTCATTCCCTTTCTTATGTTTACTAAAATTATGAATAAAAATATTATGAATGCAATCACTAAAATGTCATTTTATATAATTAAATAATCATTGAAGGTACAATAATTCATTAAGGGTACATAAGAAAATTTAACATTTATTTTCTTTGATAAGAAATCAATACTAAAGAACGTGCAAGGATCGAGATTCTGTGTCTTCATTCCCTTATATTTTATAATGCCTACTAAATCTTTATTATTAATTTTATAAATAAATATATTATTAAATAAATAAAAATCACGCTTTACTTTCCTTTTTCTTTTAAGGCAAAGTAAATATGCTCTAAGAGTTATTAAGGTCTCGCTCATTTTACCGATTTGAGTTTTCAGTTTGAAGTTTTTACAGTAAAAAATTCTTAGAAAATATCACATCTAATTTTTTTTACTACAGTGAAAAACTCTAAAAAAATGTCACATCTCAACTTAAATTAAAAACTCGAATTCACAAAATTAACTAGGCATAAAATTCGCATAAATTAAGAACGACCTTAAACGTTCAGGACATAGTAATAATAATCCTAATAATTAAAAAAAAAAAAATCAAAGCTATGGTAGTTGATAGTGATACTCTCTCTCACTAAGCTTTCTCGTCCTTCTCCAGTCTCTCTCTCTCTCTCTCACGCAAACTATGGCTTCAATTTCAAGCCCCGCCCATCCATACCCGTCGGGGCCGAATTGGAATCGTCGGCGACTCTCAACAAAACTATCATCTCAATGCCCACAATCCACGCCCGTGAGAGCAGTAGACATGGAGAATGCGAAAGAGAAGGAAGCGAAGGAGAGGAAAGAGGAAGTGAACAAGAAGACGGCTTCGAGAAAAGCCATATCGGTGATTCTGCGGAGGGAGGCCACAAAGGCCCTTATTGAGACGAAGAGAGGACCAAGCAATTCCAAGAAGCTGCTTCCCAGGACTGTTCTAGAAGCTCTTTATGAGAGGATTTCTGCTCTTCGCTGGGAATCGGCTCTCAAGGTCAGTTGGTCACTCCTTTTATTTTCATCTTTTTCAGTTGAACTTAAAGTTATATAATTGATAAATTCTCATTTTTTTATGCAAAACTTTGAGAAATGAAATGAATTTTTTGTGTTTTTTTTTTTTTTTTTTTTGGCTTGTTGAATTCTTTTGGCCGCTGAAAGAAGGCTTATTGGTTGTTATGGACGTTTGAAAAGATAGAAAGACTACTTTCTTTCTTACCGTTGTTTTAGCTTTAAGAATCTGAGTGGGTAAAAACACCATTATCAGTATCACTAAACTCCCAGGTTTTAAGTTCGAATTTAGCATGTTGTAAAGATGAAGGGCCATTTAGTTTGCTAATTTAAGTTTTTAATTCGAGCTGAGATGCAATTTTTGTGTGAGAGCTTTTTATTGTAATAAAAAATTAGATGTGATTGTTTCTGGGAGTTTTGTACTGTAATAAAACTCGAATCGGTGAAATGAACGAGACTTAAAAATGAAAAGTGAACCTCGACCAAGAGCAATCAAATGTCAAAATTTGGCATATGCTTTACATGGAAATTTGGCACTAAGTATAGCATCTTTTAAATTTAGGAAAAAATGGCACTCTATTGGAGAATGATTTTCCTGCTCAAATACTGATTCGGCGATGCGTTGGAAAAATGCTTTAAACTCTCACGGTTTAAGTTCGAATTTTCCCATCTTGAAATGTAGTTCCTTTAGTTTTTACTTCTAAAGCTGCTGGAAGTTTTAGCCTCGCACACATTAACTAACTAAAAAAATGTTCATCTCAGGTTTTTGAACTCCTACGCGAGCAGCTCTGGTATAGGCCAAACTCTAGTGTGTACATCAAACTAATTGTCATGCTGGGAAAGTGCAAACAACCCGAAAAGGCTTTCGAGCTCTTTCAAACTATGGTTGAGGAAGGCTGTCCTGTAAACCATGAATCCTATACTGCCCTTTTATCCGCATATGGTAGGAGCACCCGCTTTAACCAAGCATTTTCCCTCCTCGAGTATATGAAGAACACCCCAGATTTACAACCTGATGTCCACACTTACACGGTCCTCATCAAGTCGTGCCTGCATTTTTCTGATTTCGACAAAGTTGAAGCATTGCTCTCGGACATGGAAGCTCAGGGGATCAGACCCAGCACGGTCACGTACAATGTCCTGATTGATGCATATGGGAAAGCTAGAAAGTACTCTCCCAATATATCCTCCCCTTATGACATTTTAACTCTCTATTTTGTTGTTGTGAGTAATATGCTTAATTTTTTATTATTTAGATCTCAACGTAGGGAAAAAAAATGGGCTAGTGGGATTGCAAGATAACGATACTTTTTCTATTAGACAAATACTAGCCATTGCTCATCTAGGTTGAGTACAGTTCGTTTCCTTTTCTTATAAAGTTGTTGTCTTTTATTTATTTTTTGTCCCTAAAAGGTTTGCGGAGATGGAAGCAGTGTTAGTAGAAATGCTTCAACAAGAAGAATGTGAGCCGGACGTTTGGACCATGAACTCGACGTTGAGAGCCTTTGGTGGCAGTGGGCAGATAGAAACAATGGAGAAGTGTTACGACAAGTTTCAAAGAGCTGGGATCGAACCCAACATCAAGACCTTCAACATCCTCCTGGATTCCTATGGAAAAGCCGGCGAATATGAGAAAATGGGCGCCGTAATGGAGTACATGCAGAAATACCATTACTCGTGGACTATTGTCACATACAATGTGGTAATAGATGCATTTGGGAGAGCCGGGGATTTGAAGCAGATGGAGTACTTATTCAGGCTAATGCGGTCAGAGAGGATCAAGCCGAGTTGTGTCACGCTTTGTTCCCTTGTGAGGGCTTATGCGCAAGCGGGAAAACCTGAAAAGATTGGTGGCGTTTTGCGTTTCATCGAGAATTCGGATGTCACATTGGACACCATCTTTTTCAACTGTCTGGTGGATGCTTATGGGAGGCTGGGATGCCTTGCGGAGATGAAGGAGGTGTTGGAGATGATGAAGCAAAATGGATGTAAGCCTGATAAGGTTACATACAGAACCATGATCAAAGCTTATTCTTCCAATGGGATGGCTGGCCAGGCAAAGGAGCTTCGTAATTTTATCGAGTCGGAAGAAGGAAGGCAACTAACTGTGTTGAAAAAGGCAAAGCCCGACTTTTGATTCGACAATTTTAAAGGCTTTGTACATTATTAAGATCTCCGTACATTGTACATTGTCATTCTTGTTAACAATATTGGTCATTTTTTTTTGTGTACATATTCCAATATTTTTTTGTGTACATATTCTTGAGAGACCATGTACGTGTTTGGAACCGTTTTTTAAAATGATTTTTACGTATTTCAAGAAACAATAAATGAAAATAAAAACGAAATGACATTTGTTTAGCAAATGTTTTAAAAACGGAAATGAAAATAAAAACAGTGAGGATGATTTTTGTGAATGAATTAAAAAAGAGTTGAAAATTGTTTTTACTTTTATGTTTTTATTTTTTAATACTTATCAATAATATTATAATATATTAATTAATAAACACGATTTCACTTTTTTATTATATTCAAAATAATTTCTTAAAAAATCAACCAAACGCAATTTCAGAATTAGTCTCAAAATGATTCTCATTTTTACTTTTTATTGAAAACAAAATCATTTTAAAACCAATTCTAAACGCACCATGTATCTTTTTACACAACAAACAACAAATAACCGATAAACTTGAGTTGGACGCCAAAATAATTAACCATATTTAGGATGGGAAATAACTGTAATCTGTTTATAAATATATTTGCAACATGTGGGCAATATACAATAGAAAACAACATGCTAATCCTCATGTTGCATTCAACACATTCTGGACCAATGAATTAATCAATTGTTACAATTGACAGGTCTAAGAATTTAGATTTATTTGCCGGTGACTCAACGGTTACAACTCAGGGGACTTCTTGCAACCAGTAAGCACACAATCTTCCAAAAACTGGGTTAGCTGAGAAGTATATAGTTTAGGGTCATTTCTGAAATGATCAACATGAGGTGTGGACACAAAGTTACAAGACCTGACCACATGTCCGGCCTTCCTTTGCTTCTCAATGAATGACTCCACAGATCCCGCAGGAATGACCCTGTCTGCTGAGCTATATATGTATAACTGTGGACAGCTTGGTTGTTGTGTGGACAACAAGCCTAACACATCAGAAAGCCTCCTGTAAAACAACAAGAAACGTCCCATTATTAGTTCCATGGATATTAGAAGTCAAGCGAAGCATAACGACAAGACCCGAATTATTGATGCATGAAAATTACAGGTATATGATTTACTAGTCTACTGTATAAAATGTCAAGAGGTTGCCTTGGACTACAAAGTGATGGCATGCCAGCTTCAAAAGTTTTTGGGGAATGTTAAAACTTGTAATCATTCAGGAGAAACGTTTAATAGCAAACCAGCATAACATGTTCTTGAATATCAGTGTGATTTTATCATTATAACAAAGTAAGAACTGATGGCTTACCAAACTCAGTTTCTGTATTATGTTATAGAATATTAGACCAAAAACATGCTCTAAATGAGAAACATGAGATTCAATGGCCAAAAATTTCAGAGGCAATTAATCGACACAAGGGATAAAGTTTTAATTTGAATAATCAATTAAGTGTTAACAAATAGCATAACCAAAAAATCGAAGATGAACACAGAATTGTGTGGACAAAATGCAAGCAAATATGCATCCTATACATAATTTGATTCACATCGTCTGCATCCTAAAATTTAACTCCATAAGTGTAGCCGAAACAGGCGCATTAATCCATATAATGACTCAATGGATGATTTGTTCTGACAGATTACCTGTTTACAGTAGGAAGATTCAAAACCACCTCAAAAAACTTTTCAAGAAGTACAAGCAAAGCTGTTTCAGTTACTGCTGGTTTTGGCTCAACAAGTTCCTTGCTGGCAGCCAACGCTTCAGTTCCTGATTCATTAGTGCCCACGACTCCTTTGGTTGCTACGCTATACTTTTTCAGAAAGGCGGCAGAGAAGCCTGAAGCCCATACCTATATAATCAAGAGTTGTGTAACACATTAAAAATACAGTCCTACGTGACAGTTTATCAAAGCCGTGACATATAACGGACGTCATTCTAAATGCAGCACCACATGTTAATAAATCTTAATGTGCATAACTAATCAATTAGTTTTCATTCTAAAGTATGTCCTTTTTGCTCACAAATTAGAAAAGAAATTAAGAACACCAGCAACTAACACCAAATACGGCTCCAAATTTAGTTTACCTGAGGATCAGGCGCAGCGGCGGGTGCAGAATCCACAATGCAGCCCCTAATCCTTCCCATCAAAGAAGGATCCTGCTTTTGGAACCTCTCAAGGATAGCCCCATAACTGCAACAAGTTGGAAACAAATAGATAAATGAAACAAATTGTTTACAAAGAATGAGGTAAACAAATGGGCTCTAACAAGAAAATTCCGAGCCTATACACGGAAAGAAAGACAGAGCGGGGACTCACGTTAGCCATCCGGTGTTGCTGAAAGTGTGGAACACCAGGTTCTTTCCGTGCTCCTCTTCTAACCAATCAGTCAAATGGTCCACAAGCAAGTTAATGTGCTTTTCAGCTTTTCCTCCAACTTGGTAGCTGAGAATTTCCGACATCGGAAACGTAAAAGTAATGACGTGAAAGTTTCTCGACGTATACCATTCCGCATACCTCTTGAGATGCTTCTGCTTTGCTCCCAACCACCCTAGCAAAACCACCACAGTCCTCGAACAATCAGAACCACCCGCAACGTTTGCAGCATTCGGCTCCGGCAAATGCCATCTGTACATAACATCCGGGGAGGAAGCCGATAAATCATGTGGATACGGAGTTGGTTTTGGTGCTTTAACCAACCTAGCGGATTGAAACAAGTCAAGTAGGACAGGAGAAGAAGCGACCGATGAATAAGCCAAGTTAATCGATATATTAGGAACTGGGAAGTTAACACTCGGAACAGGAACTTGAATTCTGGAGACAAACGACAGGTATGCGAGCTTAGAAACCGAAATATGCGGAATTTTCGAATCTTCCAGGGAAGAAGAGGTGTGAGATTTATCAGAATGAGAGGGAAGTTTGTCGGAAAATTCGACCCAAACAGAAGCTAAGGCCACGGCAGAAGCGGCAGCTAGAGGTCTTTGGAGGACTCCAGACAAGGAACCCATCATGCAAAATACAATTCCAAAACTCTCATGCCAATACCAAACAATCACCAAAAACACTGAGAATTAATTTCACAACAATTTCGTACACACCCAGAAAGCCAAAACGGAGGAATGAGAATCGCCTGCGCAAATTAATTGGTGATAATGTATAAGATTTATGACGATTTTCCTTCAACAATATATAGATAAATAAAGGAATGGAATCAGAAAGCGTCAAAAACACGGTTGAGCACGCACGCAAACCCAAGAATACGCAAGAATATGGGCAAAAACCAAAAAAAACAAAAAACAAAGGAATATTCGATTGCATATTATGTATATATATATATATATATATATATATATTCTTACCTGGATTCTTGGAGATTTTGATTCAAGAAAGTCGGGCTGTCAAAAATCGCTTTGACAGCCCGGCCGCAACAAAAACGCAGACCAAACACCGACCAATGCGAAGAACCTTCCTTCCTTATATAAAGCCCGAGAGAGAAGAGAAGACGCGTTTCTGTTTTGTAAACGAAACGAAAACCTTATTAGTTGTTACTTATTACTAGGATACGCACGTTTTGCAAACCAATTTAACAAAAAAAAAAAGAAAAAAAAATTAAGTTAACTAAAGCACAACAAAAATATGTTGTTTAGGCGTACATATTAAACAACATATTTTTGGTTTAAAGACATCCAATCAAGGGATACCACGTGTAAGTGAAGACAATTGCAAAGTGTGGTTGGAAAAAGTTTGAGATAGCGATTTAAGAGGCAGTCAACTCCCTTTTTCTTTTTTTTTTTTCTTTTTTAAAGAAAGAATACTAGAGATGGCAGTCAACATTGGTGTTTAGGAGAATATACAAGAGAATATACCAATTAAAAAGGAAAGAGTTGTTTTTTTTCTTAAAAAAAGAGTTTTAGGTGACGTTTGGTAAGAAAATTCGTTTCTTGATTCGAATCATGGTTCACGGTTCATAGTTCATTACAGTTTTTTCACTTACAAAAAATACATGTAAATCAAAAATAATTATAATCTCATGATTTTAATTCATGAACCAAACGTCCCTTTAATTTTTTATCGTTAAATTTAATTAAAATCATATCATATTAAAAAAATATGTATAATAAATAAATTTTAATATATATTTAATGAATAAAAAGTAATAGATTACAATAACCCATTTTTACACGAATTATTAGAGAAAGTCTAAGAAAAAAGGAAAAATACTAGAAAATCAATGTAAAGTGACGTGTCAAAAAGGAAAGATGGGCCGTTTTATACTACAAAATTAGAAAATAAAAAAAAAAACAAAAAGAAAAGCAATGGAAAAGAAAAGAAAAGGAAAGGAAAATCATGTTTTATTGGGAAGACAGAAATTGAAAGAACAAGAGAAGAAATGGAAGTTAATTGAATTTTCTTTGGCGAAGGTTTTCTCTCACCAAACAGAAAAACCCAACTCCCTAGCTTGAGGGAGTATGCAACCGTGCTAAAATTTTGTTTCTAATTATTATTATTATTTTTTAATATAAATAACCATATTTTAAAAAAAATAATATTTATTCTATTAGGATAAAATCTCATCACTCAACAAGCGGTGAGTCCCTTAGATTAGGTCTCACCTACTCACTTAGCGTGACCCACCTTAAGCAGGATTTTAATCCATCAAGATAATTGTGATAATAGCTCAGCAATCACTCCTAAAAATTTCGTTTTACAAGAAAGACTCCAGCACAATGATGTGAAGCATCATTTCTTAAGAGATCTCACAAAGAATGAAATGCTTGATTTTATAGTGAAGATCATGGCATCGTTCAGTTCGTAAATTTGAGTTGATATGTGATTTTATGTGAGAGATTTTTATTATAGTAAAAAAAAAATTAAATGTGACTTTTTGTGAGAGTTTTTAACTGTAGCAAAATTATAATTAAAAACTCAAATTAGTGAAATGAATGAGTTCCCGACGAATTTACCTAGTCCCTAAAACTACTTGAGTTTTAGAAGCTGAGGAACTTGCTCGGTGTAGTGTATGCCCTCTAGGGACTCCAGTCCAATTTGAGAAAGGTCACCAAGAAGGTTACTCTTATTTAACTGATGTTATTTTTTTTTTTTTATCAGTTTAAGGGGCAATTCTTCAATAAGTAAAAGTCATGTTTACTACCACCACCGGTGGTAGTGGCATGGTGGCAAAGGAAGCCTACCTGGAGGCTTTGCTGCCACCAGGTTAGGAGTTTTGAGTCTTGCCGAGCGCATATGTCAGCCACTTACTAACAAATTTTTTTTACTACCGATTCTTTTTTTTTTTACTAACAAAAAAAAGGCGCGATTACTTTCTTGGTTACATAGTTGTAAGTAACGCCGGTAATATAGATCACGACACGACACGAATTTTGCGGGTTAGGATTGAGAAAAAAGAGGTTCGGATCAGAATTTGATCGATCTGAAATTGACACGAAAAATACGGGTCAATTTCGGGTTGGACCCGCCTAACCCGAACACGACACGAAACTCGTAAAAAACTAAAAAATACATATATTTTTCATTACATATTTTAAATTTTATTATGAACTTGTGATATTATGATAGTTATACTCAAAATCTTATACTATTATTTACTTAATTTCAATGGATGTTATTGTAATTTAGTGTGTTATGAATTTTAAGTTATTTCTAATATGTAAAAAACTAAATAAAAGTATACAATTTTCGTGTCAATTTCGGATTCACAGGTCAATTTCGTGTCACGAGTCATTTTCAGGTCGTGTCGTGTCAACTCATAATGTGGTCGTGTTGTGTTCGTGTTATGATTTTTAAAAAATTTCGTGTCACGGGTCGTGTTCGGATTGACTACAAATTTAAAAAAAATGATCAAAATACGACACGAACACGACACGTGACACGAATTATCACCCTTAATTTTAAGTAATCAATTGTGTTATCCTACTTTTAAGGCAATTATTCATCAGTTTTTATTTGTTATAGTACATGTCAATTAGTTGCCTAGTATTAGGAGTAAGCGGTACATATTTGGTGCAAGTGGTCAGGAGTCTGTCCTATTTTTCTAGTATTCAACACTGATGTACAACCTGTTTAAAGGACCATTTGTTTAATGAACAGAAAAATGAGATAAATATCTTTTATAATACACAAGTCTTAACTTTTCACTATTTATTTTTAATTAATATTTTTTAATTAAAAAATTATATTATTAATCAAAAATAAAGAGTAAAAATTTTAAAACAATAGTATTTTTCCTTCTTTGTTGCTTTTACTCTAAGTACTGCAATGGCCAAAACGTAAAATGGTGTTTTTTTGCTAACAAAGCCAAAGCTAAACCTCTTTCTTTAAGTTTGGTTATTGCAAGAGCCGTGGGATTAAATATTCAGTTATGGAGTCATATGTTTTTTTTTTTTTTTTTTTTTTTTTTTTTTTTTTTTTTTTGGGGGGGGGGGTTTGAACTTTTCACTTTTTTTTTTTTTTTTTTTTTTTTTTTTTTTGTACTTAGAGAGGGAGGATTCGAACTCTTCACTTCATGATAAAATTAAGTGTGGAATTACTGCTAGGCTATAGTTGTAAAAAACTAATGCACTGTTATTATATTAAACTAATTATATCCAAGAGACTAATACAACAGAGTAAATAGACTCAATTTTTAATAACAGAGTCTGAGATGGAAAGACTGAAAGGAAGAATTGCATCTAAATTTGAGATGAAAGATTGGGGGAATCTAAGCTCCCGTCTGGTTCAATAGTTTGAATTTTGTTGGTTTAAGCTTTTTAATTTTAACAGAAAAATTTAAACTGTGTGGTTTAAATTATAGTTTGAATTGACATTTGGATGTGTAGTTAAAGTTTTAATGTGAACAGGGAATAAAATTCGAATTTGTGTTTGGTAAGTGTGAAAAGCAAAGAGAGTAGGCACTTTTTACTGTTCAAAAATGGTTTGAACGGTTGAACTTGAGGGCGGAGCTAAACTATAAGTCGGACCGTTTAACTCAGTTCAAATGAGAAATATAATTCAAACTGCATGCTTACTAAACGTCAGTTCAAACTGTGTTCACTGTTCAAACTGAGTTGAACTGAAAGAAACTAGTGAAACAAACAGGGGATAAGGTATTTTCTTGGTTTGGAGGTTGCAAGGAACAAAACTGAAATTTCAGTGTCACAAAGAAAGTATATGTTCGATTAGTTGAAGGCGACAAGAATGATGGGTTGTAAACTAGTGGATACCCCAATCGATCTAAATTCAAAACTAGTCATACATTCAATCAGTGATCCTATAGACAAAGGGAGATATCAACATTCATATGGGAATTTTATTTATCTTTCTCATACTAGGCCTGACATTGCATTTGCAATGAGTTGTGTAAGTCAATTCATGCGTGCTCCATTAGAAGAGCATATGGTAGTATACTGAATTCTAAAGTATCTTAAAGGCACGCCCGGTAAAAGGATTGTTCTTTAAAATGACTAAAGAAAGAGGTGGAGAATATTTACAGACGTTGACTGGATAGGGTCAATTAGTGACAGAAGATTGACATCTGGATATTGCTTTTTTAACTAGGGTAATCTAGTCACTTGGAAAAGCAAGAGACAAATGATGGTGGCAAGAAATAGTATTGAAACAGAGCTTAGATCAATTGCTCATGGTGTTTGTGAATTACTATAGTTGAAAATGTTACTAGAAGAATTGTAGATGATAATGAAGATGTCCTTAAAGATTTTATTGTGATAAGAAGGCTGCTATCAACATTTCACGCAATTTAGTCCACCATGATAGAACTAAACACGTCGAGGTTGACAGACACGTCGAGATTGACAGACACTTTATTAAATAAAAGATTGAAAAAGAAACCATCTGCATGACATGTGGCATCAGAACCGGTAGTGGATCGTCTGACAAAGGGTCTCATTAAGCCAACATTTGAAGTAGACAACCTAGGAATGTACAATATGTTTAGCCTAGCTTGAGGGGGAGTTCGGACGAGGTTGTCTATTTCTGTTAGTATTTTCGTAGTTTAGTTTGTAATATGATTTTGTTAGCTTTAGCTATTTTCTAGGGATTTAGTCAGTTTTATATTCTGGCATATCCAGCTCCTAGACTTGAAGAATAAAAGCCGCATAAACTCGCTCGTAAACTAAGTAAATAAGAAATATATAGAGTGTTTAAGACCACTCCTTGTATTAGTTTCTAAGTTCAAACTCTTATAATTGCATTTTTTAAATTATCATTATATGTCGAGTTTTTACTACGTTTCGGGCTTCTTATTTAATATTTACATATTGCACTTTCCAATTAATATATATCCACATATGAGCGGGAGTGTTAGAAATAAAACTATTGTTGGTCACCTACTAATAGTTTCAAGTTTTAAGATGTATTGGCGAACTAATAGGAACCATGGATCTGTCAGTGTCGTTCTGTGATGAACAAGAACCGCTTTATCATGACTCTCTATGAAAGATAAACCAAACGAGGACAAGTAGAAAGATCATAATCAAGATAGTGAATAACCAAATTCAATGCGTAACAGCTTCAAGTCTTGAGTACCAAAATTACTGGATGCACTCACATCATCCAGTTCTATATGGATATAACCTGTATCAATCACTACTCTACATTGTATCAGTTCCTCACCAACAAATATATAACACTTCTCATATAGACCCTCCTTTGGTGCTAGATTTAACAAACAGGACTTTGGAGCTGATAGTTTATGATTGTCCCAAGTAAATACCTCCTCATTCTTTGCTTTCAATATAAGACGATGGCAGCGACCCAAAAGCTCCGACACATATTTCATGTCTCCTACGGCAAGGGCACGCCGGACACGAGTAGATGAGACTTGTCCTCTATCTTTTGAATTGCTTGAGTATATGTCCATGGACAACTTATTCCTGTCCATAACTGAATTTATTATGTAAGCCCCTATGCCATATTCTTTACATAACCTCACTAGCTCAGTTGCATCACCAGCAGCTTTATATCCAAATCGGTAGTTTTCACCTGCCACAATTAACCATTACCAATCTGTTTCAATGTCTATCGAGTCTGATCAACTCGGAAATAAGTTAGAATCTGGAATAACTCCAAAATAAATTTACCTGCCACAACTCCCCGCACTCCAAGATCTTTGGATAACTTGATGACAAACTCTCGAGGGGAGAGATGTCGAACAATTGAAAATTCAATCTGAAACTCGGCAGGGGCCATGTTGCCACAGTAAGGCGCCCAAGAGGAAAGAACTCGCTTCCTGTCAGATTTGGCAACTATTGGAGGCCTGGAGAGTTTACATAAATAATTGAGTTGGAAAAAAATAGCTTTTTGCTTAAAACTTGGAATATCTGGAAAGA